AATGTGATTCTCACCATTTAAATTCTTTAACTTCTACCTCTCCACCTTCCAAATCGTTAAAAGAAAAAAAAACCAAAAAAGAAAATAGAATTCTAAGACTAGTCCCACCACTTTTCCCTACAATTCAATCCAAAAAATAGCCAACTTTCATCAAGAAAAAAAAAAGCTGCCACAATTCATCAAAACAACAAAAACCTAGATAGGAACTAACATGAATGAATTAAATTAACACTTTGCAATAATAAAAATTGAATCTTTATTGCTACAAATTTTAATTTTTTTTCCTCCCCTTTGTTTCCTACATGTTAAGCTTTTGGTTCTATGGAATTAAGAAATAGAAAGAATAGAAAGAAATGAATAATAAATAAATAAATAATGGAAACAAGAACTTATTGTTGAACTTTAAACAAATGGGGGATTCAGAGCCGGCGACTAGCAGTGGCGATTTTAGAAGTTTTAAGGAAGGCAGCAAAGCCAATAAAGTTTTTATATGAATCATATCGCTCAAATGATGAAGATTGCAATGATAATAAAAATATATTTGAACAAGAATATCCTAATTTATCAACCTTGGAATGTCTTATTCTAATATTGACCAAAAGCTAGAAAAACTCGTTGGTTGTGTGGCTAAAGTTTTAAGAGAAGTTTGTCATAGTTTTAACTTCAGGTCTTAATGCTACATATTTTTCACATATCTAAGCCTTAGGGGTTAAAAGCTTGAAATTTTTTTATAAAATCCCTTTTTGTTTTCCTGATAATATGGAAACTTAAATTGTCTACCACATCTCAAACATTATTGAATCATATTAAGTTTTTCTGATGTTAAAAGAAGGATGAGCTTTTGGATGAATTGCCTTTTGAGATTTTTACCAGTTTTAAAAATGTTTACTACCCTATCTCAAACATCATTTGACTTGAGATTTCTCTCAAGACTTATTAAACATCGACTAATAAGGAAAACTCAATAAACAAAACCACTATGTTAGATTTCAAAAGATCTCAAAAAACCTAAAATTTCATAAGATCTCAAGAAAAAAATTACCTATGCCTCTTGTTGAAGATTAGCCCAGAAATCCAACGTCTCTTGCTGATCAAGGGCCAAATTGTTTCACTGATAAAACAAAAATATAAAAATGAAGAAAACCCAAATTAAAAGATAGAAAACCCAATGTGAAGAATACAAGAAGAAGATAAAAAAAGAGAAAGAAAAAGAAAAATGGTAGATTTCAACCCACACTTTCAGATGATGAAGAAACAGGACCTTATTAGCTAGAAGAAGGAGGAGCTACGTTAGCAAAATGGAGAAGAAGCAGTAGACCTTAAACCTCAAAAACGACAATGAATAAGATTTGAAAGGGATTGTGAGTAATTTTTATAAAAGATGATAGATAAAAATATCCGTAAAGACCTTACAAGGTGCAATGTAATATGATTACATTAGTTTTAGACTGTAATCACATTACATCCTTTGACTGTAATGTGATTGCATTACAATCTTACATTGCAGTATTCTGTTACAATACAAACATTGCAATATAATTTAATTAGACACATTGCAAGGAATGTGTCTTCATTTCCCTCATACCAAACACCACCTTAACTTCAATGAGTAAATAAGCTAACACATGGTAGAGAGCTGAGAGTGAGCCAATTTGGTATGACTAGCTTTCCTTATTTGTTTGAGTTTTGGGTCTTTCGGGGGCAACGAAACTTATACAAGAATTATCCCTATGATTATGTGCTTCAAGAAAGAATCTATCACTATTTCTCAACTCTTCTTTTGTTTGTTTTCGAAAAGGGTGAATTTTCGAAACCACCCTTTGTTCCTCTAATTAGGATGTATATCTTTTATTGGACAAATTATACAATTGGTTCCTATTGGACAAGTTAAAAGATTAATTCCTATAGTGCATGGTAGATTTGCTTTTATACAATAATTTATAAAATTAAGCTATTTTATTATATTAATGTGGATTATTTTTGTTGACATGATTTTAAATTTAATGATATTATTTTTAAAAATGATGTAATGATTATGTTAATATGATATTATTAGATATGAACATAAATTATTATTAATAATGCGATGCTGATGTGATATTATTATATTATTTATACATTCAAATATATAAACAATAAAAGAATTTTAACATTAATGATAATTAAACTGATATTATTTATTTCAAAAAATATAAAAATTTAGTTTTAAAAATTACTGATGACATAAATTAACTTTATTTTATTTCATCCAAAATTTCATCTGGAGGCATTAATTTCAATTTACACAACTACCCTTCCAATTTTACACTCAATGCAGCCAGAGCAAGGGTGGTTCCGTACATTCACCCCCTTTTGAAAAACCCAGTACAAACCCTTTGATCAGTTGCAGACTTGCTTCCTTTCCTACTGGAGGCGACTCTGAAGAAGAAAGCACGCTATCCGTTTTTCGCTCTGCTATTGAAGTTGTAGGGTTTGAACTACTGAAGCTAATGGATCCTCGTACAGTGTCGCCCAATGTGTCAACTTCCCAGACGATATCACCAGGTTGGTCTTTCCTTTTAACTATCTTCCAGTTTTGAACTGTTCAATTTCCTTTTTTTTTTTTTTCCGGTTTTGATCCTAATTGATCATTGATAAATTTGAGTCCTTTGCGAGTACCCAAATCAGGATATGTTGTTCGTTTTTAAATTATTTCATTTTTTATGCTAGCAAGCCCAAGTAATTGTTTGGTTAAATATTTTTTTAAGAAGTAAGAATTCAACTCTACCATAACTCGTGTAAGAGCTTCAATTTAGAACGGTATTTCTATCAACATTATATGCAGATGGTGCTAGTGGTCACTAACATCCTAGGCACTTTACAGTATAAAATTGGTTTAACAATGGGTCAACTTTAATTAATTTAATGTATAGCTGGAATTCTCTAGCCCTTTCGACTTTAATTTAGCAGCTTGAAAGGCCTGCATTTTCTGTTTCTTTCGAGCTTCCTTCTTAGCCTTTGACATCTGGATTTATAATCATTTTGAAGCTAATTATTATTTTACTTGTTTTGAAACAAATGCTGCTGTTTTGCAGATGGATTGAGATATAAAAAATGTGATCCTCACAAGGAAGAAAACAAGTTGTCAGCCTTGGTTCATGTAGGAGACGAAAATCCATTTGATTTTTTTCGTGTATTTTATGGTAATTCAATCACTCATTTTATGTGCACCTTTTGATTTGTTTATATTTGATGGGTTGTCAGTGTTTAATTTTAGGGTTGCCATCATCATAAGGAATTTTAATCTTTGCTAATAAATGCTAATGTGAACATTGCAGCAAACTGTGGTTTACTGGCAAGTACAATGCATCCTTCTTGTTGTTCTTTCTCTTATTGCTTGAGCTTCACCAATGTTTTTCGCATAATATTTGAGCCATGGGTTAGAATGAGGAAGTAATGAACAACAGTCCAAAAAAGTTTGAAAGTTGATATTTGAAATGATCAAATGCAATTTGGTTTTAAGCTAATATTAGCTAAGGGGTTTTCTCTATATGAAATGCTTCTTATAATACCATCTTTCCAGTGGTAGAAGGTAGATAAATTGATTAGAGCCACCTGCATTTAGTGCAGTTATACCTAAAAAAGGTATGAAATGAAATTTATGTGCGAATAGAATTATGATTAGGAAATTTTCTGATCTTATAGGAATGAGTGGACATATTCTTAAAATGGGACAGAAAAAGCATGGTTCTATATATGGACTATTATATTTGTAGGAGTGCTAACCAATGGAAACATTTGATAGAATTGCAAACATTGCGCTAGTAGTTGCAACTCTAATGGTTTAAAGATTGGGTTTAAGGCTATTGTCAGTTTACATTTTACTAAGGAAATATGTAAAGGGGTTCTTGTCATAGGGAGAGGAAGCATTACAAACAAGTAAAAGGAATGTACTGGAAGTGGTGGAGAGGAAGATTGGAGTAGTTCTTAAAGCACTGAGTGTTGTGGCAGGTGGAAGAGAATAAATTAATAGTAGAGTAACGATTAAGGATGGGTAGAGAGTAGGCGAGTGGTAGAGGGAAGTTGGGAAGCACTAGGTAGAAAAGGGCTAGAGATTGAATTTAGAGGGATAAGCTCTGGATGAGAATGTTTAAGCTTTGGGGAAGAGAAGGTTGCCAAATAAATTGTGAGGGTTCTATATATAGTGTTAGAAGTGGCGGTTACTCAAGAATAAGCTTTCATATACGTAATAAATAACGGCTTTAATATTGGGTGACTTTTAATGAATTTATAATGTTGAATAACGGTTAAAAATCCATTATGTGACTATTAAAGTAATGGATTTTGTGACCGTTAATAACATAATGAGATTTATTCTTGAGTAGTGGGTAACTGGAAGATGTGTATAGGAAAAGCTATACCTGAACAACTTAAAGGAAAAAGGTCTACATAAACAAGTACAAGAGGACAAGGTAAGAGAGAAACACTTATACTTCAAGAAATGGTTAAGAGAAGAACTGTTAACTACCTCCATATTGGAGCCATCAAGTCAAACTCTTCAAAACATCCCAAGATGAAGGTAACCCGTAAGCCCTGTCACCTATTCCGGGTTGCTTTCATTGTTATCCATATGAAGTAGTTGTTCCGCATGAAGTAATGCTTCATTTGCTTTAGTTGTTCTGCGTGAAGTAGTGCCTAACTTGTTCTAATTGTTCTGTGTGAAGTAATGCCTCACTTGTTCTAGTTATTCTCATTATTCTCTGTATAGCACGACATCGTAAAACAATTCTTAAAGAGAATAAGTAATAACCAAAAGAAACTATCTACAAAATGGAACTACATTCAATACAATAGTGCATATTGAAATTAGTTAGCTGCATTTAATGCTCTTGGGAAGTCTAACAAGAAAGAAGTAATCAAACAAAAGTCATTTTTCGTGCTAATAATTTAGAGTGGTTTGCTCATTTTAGCTCAAAGTTATCTCTTAGGAAGACTAATGCAAAATAAGTAATCTAATAAGTTAGAGTGGTTTGCTTATTTTACATGATAATGTGGCATTTAGTAGCTCGTTGTTGCTAAGATGGTTGAATTGTTTTCATGAGAATCTATTTTGTTTAAAGAAATAATTACAAAGCAGTTTTTGGTTTCAATGGAAAATAGAGCTAGTATTTTCTCCACTAGAAATATTTTTCTTGAAAATTTCTATGTTTGAAAATTCACTGATTGCTTGTTTTATGTTTGAGCAAGTGCTCTGAGTTCCTTTGGTCCCTATATTGCAAGTTTTCCGTAAGTCCTTGCCAGGTGTGGGAATGGTTCTTACTAGTTTTCTGATAAAATGTCTCTTTTCTTTAACTTTAGCATGGTTGGAAGCTGATCTTTCTAAAGATCTGTTCTGTATTTTGCAGAGAGTGTCATAGCTGGAGCTACTGCTGGTGTTGTTGTAGAAGCAGCTTTATACCCAATCGATACGATAAAAACTCGACTCCAGGTAAGTTGACGTAATAATTCTTTATTTAATCATTGCCAGCATGTTACATGGAGCCAAATCCTCTGTCATATTTTCGAACTAGATACAACTTTTGAAAAAGAAAATTGCATCTTAACACTTTTTTTGAGGACGGTTCTAATGGAAAACACAATATCTTATCTCCATTAAGATTAAATTTGTCACATTAATATATGATTATTATGAAATTAAAGGGATGGCAGTCCTGAGACTATTTCAACCATCGGTGTCTGCTTTATCCTATCACCTATAGCACCATAATCTATACAAAAGGTCTTAGCACATTTGTTTTGCTTTTAAAATACATGTCTTACTTGACAATTTAGAATGAACATTCACATTTGAAGTGTTTTAATGCATAAGTTTTATTTTTTGATTACCTATTGCAATGAAACAAGCTTTTGCCTTTCTGTAATGGTTTTCCCTTTGGAAAGAGGTTAGCTAGAAGAGAAATTAAGGGCAGAAGATGGAAGGTTATTCTTATTAAGGCCTGTTCTCACTCAATGTTTTTTGCCTTAATTTCCTATCGGCCTCCCTCTAGTATACTCTTTAACTTTCGACCTAATTGTTTAATGTTTTACTTACTAGACCCGAGTCTTCTTTGAATCTTTGTGATCAAGTGTCCATAATCCACTGTTCTCATGGTAGGCAGCCCATGGTGGAGGAAAAGTTATTTTGAAAGGTCTTTATTCTGGATTGGGTGGAAACCTTGCTGGTGTTTTGCCGTGAGTATTTTGTCAACCTTGTTATTTCATATATGAAAACCAATGTTCCAATTGTTTCACATACTGTATGTGCTTATTATTTGAGTGTAGTTCCAAGATTTTTATTGTGAAGCTAACTAAAATTTTTATGCCAGGTAACTGCAACTCAGTAAACTCTTAAATTACAATTACAGAAATTCATTTTTTCCGTACTTGATTCACCTTTCTGCGCCCTCAGTTTTGCAACTCTTTATTGGCTCTTGATGTTTCTCTAGAATTTGTTTTCGGTTGATTACCATTTGGGCTTATGGACCTTTTTATCCACAGGGCTTCTGCTATATTTCTTGGTGTATATGAACCTGCAAAGCAGAAATTGTTAAAGGCCTTCCCTGAAAACATGAGTGCTTTTTCTCATTTGGTAAGTTTTCGAATCAACAAGCAGCAAATTGCCGGATGAGTTCCTATCAAATTTTGCTTCAATGCCTTCTCAGTTTTGAATTGTTCATGGATCACTCTCAGCTTATGTTTCTTTTAGCTTCTAGTTTTCTGAACATAAAAAAATCTATATAATTCTTCCTTTTCAAAATTTTTCCCCTCTAAATCCTTTTATTTTCATGTTATGAATAAACTCATTGATATGTATACACCTGAGTGGGGTCTGTTATTCCTCTCATACAAAAATGGAGAGTTGGAAATATCAGAACAGAAAGAGATTCAGAGGTCAGGCTTCATGGGCTTGGCTTGTTAGTCTGAGCTCAGCTGCTGCCAAAATCTGTAGGAGGCCTAACCTTCATAAATTGGTCTGCCTAGTACCAACATATTCAGTCTAGTTTGTTATTGATGGTATGGAATGTGATAACCCTATATTGCTCAATATTAGACCCTTTCTTATTTGAGATGAAGAGGATCATCATGTTTAGACCTACTGCATGGTGCCTTTTTTCGGATATAAATTGGTTGTAAGAGTTTGTTCAGACTGCAGGTGCTTTAGGAGGTGCTGCTTCTTCCCTTGTTCGAGTGCCAACAGAGGTAATTAGGTTCACTTATTTATCACCGGTCACTTCTCTCTCTTGCTTGCTCCTGCTCATTAGACATTTTCCAGGTTGTTAAGCAAAGGATGCAAACTGGGCAATTTGCTTCTGCCCCTGCTGCTGTACGCCTTATTGTTGCTAAAGAGGGTTTTAAAGGTCTATATGCGGTATGGAAACTTATGTCTCATTTTAAGCTTCATTCTTGGGATTCGAACTGAAATGTCAGTCTTATAGTTTCTGTTATTTAATTTCGTGTTTACTGAAAACAACCGCAACTTCAAAGAGACTGCTCTGATGTTGAATATCTCTTATGAAGATTGTTTGAAAGAGTTGTCTGATGTTGTGTTTTGGATTATTGCAATCATCATTTTGGTGAGTTATTTGTTTATTTTATTCATGTGATTGCTGCTCGCTGGTGTCTAGTTGTTATCATGCATGTGAATGCTGTTTTCTGCAGGATGATCTTGGTGCATATACCCTGACCTGTCTTTCTGAAATTGTAGGGATATGGATCCTTCTTATTGAGAGATTTGCCCTTTGATGCCATCCAATTTTGCATCTACGAGCAACTACGAATAGGATATAAGCTGGCAGTAAGGACTATCTTCTTACTTTTTGACTTTAAGATAGAAAGTGCATACTTCTAAATGTTACTCAGTATAAATACAACAAATTAAAATCTTTGCAACAGCAGCCCGAATTAATTGAATTCCATTATTGTGCAACCGAGGACAGTCTCCACACAAAGCAGGGTGGCCTCAAGAACTGGCGGTCCCTTTGTTTTGTGACTGAGGAAACATAAATGACACTCAATGACTTAGAAGACATTGAAATATTACTCTTAGAGCTTCTGCAACTTCATGTTACTCATTTATATACTTGTTTTCAATCATTCTATTGCCGATCAGCATTGGATAGTTTATATCATATACAGAATACTTAAACAAGCATCCTCACATTGTCATTTTTCGTGTGATAAACTGGGAAACTATTCTGAAATTAATGCTATTTGCCCTTTCTACAGGCACGAAGAGACCTGAATGATCCTGAGAATGCCATGCTTGGTGCTTTTGCTGGTAAAATATTCTTCTTGGCAGTTTCAGATTTCCATTGTATCTTAATTTTGTTTTGAATTTAGAGTTAGGGATATGCTATTATTATTGCCAGCTTGGTTTTGATTTTGGTCATAATTCCTGAAAACTCTTATTCCTTATCACAAGGATTAGGATGCAAAAGGAAAAATGAATCTTCTAAGAATTCCATTGACATCTAAATCCTGTATTTGTCCCAAGTTCAATAATGATGCACGACAGATCCTCTTAGTGTTTTACGTAAAATATTTTTCTTTGTTTTTGTAAAATTAAATGTGAAACCTGCTCTTCCCTTTTAGAGGTTTTGGATAAATTCCTGATGAGTAAATTCCTTTGCCTTATTTACAATGTCATTTTTCCATTATTCGGAATGATTAGGGATGCATTAGTCAACTTGTATAATTAGACACTTCTACAGTCATCCCATCACAACAATCCATTATCAAGACAAAATGCTCACTCTAAACTTTGAGCGCTGCCTCCTGTAGTATCTCTTTCCACACTAAGTCAGCCTCCAATTTGTCCTCTGGAGAAAAATTAGCACTTTACATGTCAGTTGGAATCCTGGTTTATGGTGTTTCTGTGTAGAGCATAAATGTGCAAGAGTCATAGAAAGTCATAAATACTTTCACAATTCTTCCTATCAGTCCATCATGACTGATAACTTCCATGTGCATGTACTGTACATATACACTAAGGTCTGCAGTCTGCTTCTGTGGTAATCTCCCAAGTCTAACATATTCATATGCAGGTGCCATAACTGGAGCTGTAACAACTCCTCTTGATGTGATAAAAACTCGATTAATGGTCCAGGTCAGACAACCTTTTCCTTTGTATTTGGTGAAAGGTGTTATAGTTTCTTTTTTCTTCTTCAACTCTCTTTCTTTTTTTATTCTTTGCAGGGATCAGCAAAGCAGTACAAAGGGATTTTTGACTGTGTAAGGACTGTAGTGAAAGAAGAAGGAACCCATGCTCTTTTGAAGGTTTGAACATTTTCATTCCTTTAATTGTTGAATGTGATTTTAAATTCATTATCTTTCCTTATATTTTTTTTCCCATTTTGCTATGCTTAAAGAATCTGTTTTGGTCCTTTTGTTAGCATGGCAAAAGGTCATGACTTTTAGCTGATAGTTCCAATGTGCTCCTTTTGTTAACAAAACTGTGAAAGATATGGTCAAATTGTTCATCAAATCCTTGCTAGCTTGACACCATCAAGTAAAAGGTGATGCTGGAGTGGGAAATATAATTATCTTGGCAACAAAATGGGAATGTAGATAGACATTAGCTTGTAGCTGAAGGTTGCAGCAGATTCACCTTTTGTTCTCCCATTGTTTGTTGCAGGGTATTGGACCAAGGGTGCTGTGGATAGGTCTTGGTGGTTCAATTTTCTTTGGTGTTCTTGAAAAGACAAAGCAAATGTTCGCCGAAAGGCGCCCAGAAAATCGGAAGTCATTTTCTCTCAAGCAAAATTAACTTTTACTGATAGATTTTACTTTCTTTTTGCTCAGATTATTGATATCTGGTTAGATTTCTTTTAGTTTTGATCTGTGACATCATACTTTATAGTATGTTTTAGTTAATCTTCTTCAAGTGCTATTCAGTAGCTCTTGTTTTCTGTTTATGGGTTATTCATAGCACATCAGCTTGAGGGAGAGCAAGCCTTTTGCATGAGATCTTTCTTCTGACTAATAGCTTCCGATAAGATCGTCTCAAAATTTCCCATTGTGTTTTACAAGAATTATTAGATTGTGGGTTGAAAAATTATTTAGGGGAGGCTTGCCATATTACAGCCGCCACCATCTTCCATGTTCTATTGTTGTTACCAAGTCTAGTTCAGCAAATTCGATAAACAAGTTATCACAGCACGCCTTATGTTATGTTTATTGGGCCTATAGCCCGCATGGGGTCCAGCCCATTCAGCTTGCTTGTTAGTAATTAAGATCATTGGTTTTATAAAGGTTTTTATAAGAACACGAACAATAGCTTATCTTCGTGTAGAAAGAGGGAGTGCTTTATAACTTGCTTATTTTTGGTGTAATGTTTAAAAGTCTTTGAATTATTTAAAAAAATTTAATTTTTTTTATTTTTTATTACATTTAATTAAGTTTATATTTTATTTTAGATTAAACCTTTTTATGATAAATGGTTGATTAATTGTCATTAATTAAAATGTCTATTGTCATTTTGTTCATGTGACACTAAAGTGGCGTTGACATGGAGGTTGAAAAATGTGATATAACTATGTATTTATGTTATATTAGCATACTATATAATCATTTGTTATAATATGTTAACATGTTATGTTATTGTCACATTAGTGTCACGTTAACGTCATGTAATATAGAATGACTAATGGCATTTTAACTAGGTCAATGATTAATCATAAGGACTTATTTATTTTAAAATAAATATGTGTTTATTTGACTCAAATAAAATTACAAAGATTTGATTTAATACAATAAAAGTATAATGGTTTATTTTAATTCTTATATAGTTTAGGAGCTTTTGTAGATATTATGCTTTTCTTCTTTCATAGTGATGTAGACAGTTGATTTATTTTCTAAAAGAATAGTTTTATAGTATAATGTTGTACAGAGAATAATGAGAACAATTAGAACAAGTACAGTACCATTTCACGCAAAGCAACTAGATAAGTGCAATATTACTTCACACGGAACAACTAGGATGAGTGGAACAGGTACTACACATAGATAACAATGAAAGCAACTTGGAATAAGTGGTAGGGTTCATGAGTTACTTCTATCTTGGGATATTTCGGAGAGTTTGGCTTGGTGGCTTAGATATAGAGGTAGTTAAGAGATCTTTCTTTTCACCTTTCCTGAAGTACAAGTGTTTTCTCATATTGTCTTGTTCTCGTATATCTATTCACATACACCTTCTTCTCTTGTACTTGTTCATGTACAGTTTTTTCTTTGTGTCTTTTCACATATACCTATTTTCTATTACTTTCTACACGAGAACAAGTCTTATTACATCTAAATTACTTCAACGGTTACATAATGGGTTTTTAACCGTTACTTGACATTAACTCTTAGTAACGTTTACACAACATTAAAACTCTTCTGAATAATATCATTCGTTGTGTGCATTAAAGTCTTTTCTTATAACCATCACTTTTAGTACTATATATAAAGCTTTCACAATTCATTTGAGGGGCTTTTCTTTCTTCCAGAGTTAACACATTCTCTTCTAGAGCTTCTTTTTCTAAGTTCCCTCTCTAATTATCTTTTGTTCCTTAATTCTCTTCTTATTATCTTCCATCTACCATGACATTTAGTAATTTAGGAATTGCTCTGATCTTCCTCTTTGTCTACTTTAGCGTATCCTTTTACTTGGTTGCAACATTTCCTCTCCTTATCACAAGAAATCCTTTTTATGTTTTGGTGATTCCACTAGGAAGGAGTGATTGCATCAAGTAAAACTTTTACTCCCACAAGTTTGTGTTACCAGAAGAGATGAAGAGTTCCCTTTGCAACCAAGATGCAGCGATTCCATCCTATATTCAAGATCTAATGAGAATGATTCAAGCTTTTTAAAAAAGAATGCAAACATTAAAAGACAATAATAGGCGGATGATGGAAACTGTATGCCAACTTGTGTCCCTTATTGCTACCACTTCTCAAAGCCCAACTTGTGCACCTTACTGAGAGTCTACCTAACAGAGCCACTCATTTTATTGCAAACACTGATGGAATAGAGGAAATGGAGAAAGTGCAATTGATGTAGTAATTGTTGCTATTAGGATAAGCCCTGCATTGAGATTGGTTAAGGCTTGATTCCAATTATGCAACAATATCATTCATGTTGAATGATTAGAGGTTTTCCTTCATCAATAACATCAATTATAATGAGTTATAAGTCTAATTGGATGAAGTCCATGAGATTAATATTCTTTGCAAGGGAACTGTAATGGGTTGCAGTTATGAGATCCCTATGCATCAAATTATAATCTTAAAATGTTCCTGGTCAATGTATCAACAAGACTGAAAATCAGTGATACTTAGAGACTGGTATATTCTATTTTTTTTAATTTGGAAGTAAGTAATCGATCCCATAGATTGAAGTATAGAGATACTTAGAACCAGCATATAGGTGCTTTCTTAGGAGAGCAAGTTCACAAAACATAACCCGCCATGAGAAATGCATTTGGCAATACACTTCAGTGTCTATGCAACACTTGTCATGTGTCAGTCATGTAAATACTCCCTAGACTTGAAACATCAGTTGTCTTATATGTGGAGTGCTGTGCTTTAATTTCATCCTTAAGGGTGCCTAGCCAAGGATGCTTAAACAAGATGCTTTTGGATATAGTATGAAGCATGTGAAGGCAAACGAGTGGTCAAGATAGGAATCATCACCTTAATTGTTTTGAAGGACATATCTTATCAGTTTTTGGTTAACATTGGCTTATTACAGTCCTTGGCCAATGTGACATGGAGATTATGAAAAAATTTCATAAGTCACTATAAAGCTAATGCTACAACTGTAGGAACGAATATAGACATCAATAAAAGTAGACACTATACCAAACTCTTATCAACTCCAAAATATATGATAAGGGAATGAATTACTCTGATAAACTGTACATTAAAAAGTTATAAAAGAACCCTTTGACTCTCTAAAAAATTGGATAGCCATGATGCATTACTAGATGCCAATTTTGATTTATGCAATTTATTATAAATTAATTGATTGAAATTATATTAATCAATTAAGTCATTAATCAATTCCATTGCCAACATGTTAGGAACCTAATGGGTTACACACAATAATTGAGTTTGAATTAAATTGGGAGAGTGATGATTTAAGTTAGACTTAAATCACATGCTAGGTAATTAACTTCTATAAACTTAAGTAAAAGGGTTTAATTAAGTTTTAGGCATAATTATAAATAGTTATAATTATAAGGCCTTGATTGCAAAATATAAAAGAAATTAATTTTGATTTTAATTTCTAAAGACTTAATTAAAAGAGTTTAATTAAGTAATGGGTCCAATATTATAATGTGTTATAATATTAAGGGCTTAATTGCAAAATTGAAGTTTTTTAAACCTAGCTATATAAGTCACATTTTAACTATTTTGCATATGAGAGATTTTCACAATTGAAGAAAACCTAAATTGTTTCAGAAAAGAAAAAGCGTTTTTCTCTCTTTGTTGCCACTTCCTTTGTGCGAAAGAGGAAATTGCTTATGAAGCAACTTTCAAGAGAGGTTTGGGTAAGCCTATGAAAAAGAAAAAATAGACCATTGTTGTCCTCTTTGCTAGCACAAAGTATAGTTAAAAACACTTTCCTTTGTTAAAGGTTCATGAGCAATTGAGTGTACTACTGTTGGAGGCCAAGCACTTGATTGGCTAAGGTATTTGCTCCTTGTGGTGTTTGTGTGATTGTTTCGAAAAGTGCCTTTGTGATTATGAAATTACTTAACCAGGTAACTTTCTAAATAATAATTAATTTTGTGCTTATATGTGTTAAATATCACCAAAGTGATCCATGCTAGAGACATGTTTTAGTTGTTTAGTTCTAAAGTTTTAGTTTTCTTTTAACTACGTATTTTAAGCATGCCGTCCATAATGAAACCCATCAGTTGCAAACCTTAATCCAATCAACTCCACTACTGTGGTTAAACTAGCAACTACCTCTATTGCAGTAATCTCACCTGTTCCTACCCAAGGATTTGTGACAATAGAAGAGCTCTAAAAGTTATTAGATCAGAAGAATAAGAGATTTAGCTTTTTTGAATTTGATCTTAAATTTCCTTACCCATAAAGTATAGTGGTTAAGTTATATCTTAAAGACTACATTAGTCCTAAATTCAAGCAATTCAATGGTAAGACTAGTGATGCATGAAAGCATGTTATGAGGTTTGTGGAAACACCTAGAGTAGCGAGATTGGATGATGACTTGAAGTTGAAGAAATTCTTTAAATCTCTCACTAAAAAGGCTTATACATGGTATGTTAATCTCACCCTAGGTTTTGTTGAATCTTGGAGTCAAATGTGTTAGAAGTGTAGAGAGAAGTTCTTCTTTACTTAAGAGAAGGTTACTTTCGTTGATTTGGGAAGAGAATATCAAAAGTCTAGAGAAGACCTCATGGAGAACATTCAACACTTAAAGAAAGGGGGATGGACATACAAAAGTCTCATGATGAGAAAGAATTAGTGAAAGTTTGCATTCAAGGGATGCTCAATGAGTATAGGCTATACTTGAAGAATTTACCTCTTCCAACCTTTGTTACCTTGGTGGAAGTCGCATGAAGAACCAATAATATGGTTCTTAGACAAAGGTGAGCCATTTGATTTGATAGAAAGAATACCCTAATAGTGAATGCCATTTAAGGAAGAGATAAAGAAAGAAGAGGCCCATTACAATCAAATTTACGTCTTAGAAAGGATGATATAAAGAGAAGGTAATATAAGGAGAACAATTCTTTTCCACCATTCTCAGTTCCACTAGATGGAGTGAAAGCACTTATTCATGAATGGATTAGGGGTGGATAGGTGAACTTGTCCCAAGTTGTTGTTGAATTTGCACGTGCAAGTATACGTATCGAATAAGTAATATAGTGATGAAGTATTGTTCCCATGGAAATTTGTTTCTAAAGTTTCACTAATTACTAAAATTATAAAACAAATTAATCTTATTTA